GCATTAAGCAATGCCTTAATACTGTAGGATGGGATGAAATCGTAATAAACTGTTTATAGTTCATAGTGTTGCACATCAACACCTGCTGCTTATTGCTGTTGCTTGGTGTACAAGATACTCAAAAATAAGAGCAGTTACATAGAAAATTAAATAATTCGTGTATAAAAAATTGATGTGTGGGACACCTTAGGCGGTCGATAACTGCTAGACGAAGAAGATGCACAGGAAACAGAGATACGAGAGGAGTTTCATTCGATCGTCATAAACTCGCTGTAACGTGAGGCGACATCTATTGTGGTGACGTGCCATGTTCAATTCGTAGTGGTGACGTGCCATGTTCAATTCGTATCGGTGGCGTGCCATGTACAATTCGTAGCGGTGGAATGCCATGACACTGAAGTCAACACTACACAACATCAGATGTAGACGAGATGACGTGTTATGCTAGTGATCGTTTATCAGTCATGATATATTTAATGCGGTGTCAGCATTTATTAGGCCATTAGGCCTGTCGCCGATTATTAACATCGCAAAACATTCACAGGTTATTGCGGTTTCGAAACTGCAACTCGCTGCTTTAATTATGTTGTGCAGAACCCGGCCTCCTTGCCGACCGGCCCGGCCTCCTCGCCGATTCTGACCAGAAACTGGCGCTTTGAGCTAAGGCCTGGGATCGAACCCGCACCTCTCTGCACTAATCTTGGTACTCTGAACTGTACCCTCTGGGCCACCCAGCCCCTAATCATCATAAAAATATCAGCAGGTACTGCCATGCCATATTGAAAGTCGTTTATGAGTCACCACTAAAACAACATGTGCATGGTGCCATCGTGCCATTGAAGCATTGCATTGAAATTCATTTATCAACCGTCACTGAAATAACAGCTGGTGCTATCGTGCCATATTTAATTTCGTTCTTCAACCGTCACTGAAATAACAGCTGGTGCTATCGTGTTATATTGAAATTCTTTTATCAACCGTCACTGAAATAACAGCTGGTGCTATCGTGCCATATTGAAATTCTTTTATCAGGTACCACTAATCAACAGCTGGTGCTGTCGTGCCATTTGGAAGGTAGTTTATCAATCACCATCAAAATAACAGCTGATGCTATCGAGCCATATTAAAAGTCGTTTATCAATTGTCACCAAAATAACAGCTGGTGCTGTCGAGCCATTCTATAACGTGTTGCATGGTTGACATCTTCAGACGTATCGACACACTTTCTTGATTGGTTACTAACTCTAAATTTTCAAATTTATGTCGTTTCAAACTGAGCATTGTAATAATTTTTAACCATTTTTCGTAATGAGTAAATTTTAAAGTTATTCCTTCCTGTATGGAACACAATCTAGTTTTTGTGGGTGAAGCGAAACAAATAAATGTGTTGTCAATTATATCACGTTTTCAGAGGGATCGTGCGGATTTATTAAAGAGGTTACAAGATGCAAACAAATGTTTTGGATTGTTGGATTTTTCGATAAATATAAATTTTTTAATGAGGCGTGTATAGGCTTATTCCCATAACATTGTTGCCAGATTTCATTCGATTAATAGACGAGAACGTTAGCTCACATAAGGAATTCTTGATGTGTAACCATTCTTTGGAGTTACGTTACATCTTTATTCAGTAAAAATTCTATTTTATTACTAAGTTGAATACCTTTAAATTCAATGGAAAGACTAAACGAAATTACCAGTGATAATTTCGGATTACATGAGCTATGTGTGTGTATACTCTGATACAATAAATCGTGCAAATGTTTGAAGTAGTGAGCTCGACTGCACGGCAAATATGCACAGAGGGCATAAGTCAAAGCAGCTATGCAGAAGAAATGCAGCTGGCATTTACACTGATCAAATTTATCGATATCCCTAAGTGGTGGGAATTGGCGTGAATAAAGTGAGGTGGCTGCGTCGGTTGAATTATATTATAAAATGATTCATCAAGCTAGACGTTACTATTTTTTAACGTATAGCCAAATTTCACTGCGAAGAGCCTGTACGCTCATAACGTTTAAGTTTAGTAATGCGTGAAAAAATTATCGAAAAATTCTGTTATGATTAATTTCTTTTTCTTTGCAGATGAACATTTTTAGGCTATGAAATTTCGAACTAAAACATTTTTATTATCATAAGTGTTTCTCACCAGAATATTTATAACTTGTAGCTTCTATGTACTGTGCTTCTATTTAAGTTGTTGTAGATGTGAAAACTTGATTGCAAGTAACTTGAGCAGTCGAACTGAAAATTACCGTGTCAATATTGGTTTCTATGTCATGATAGTACGACATACATGGACATCATGACAAAGAAGCTCAAGTGACACCATTATTCAAACAGGTGACAAGAGCTGTTCAGGCAGTGTTATTTGCAAGGTAATGGAATCTGTTGTAAGGGATCGATTGATCGATCATTTGACTGTTAATAATCTCCTATCAGACTGTCAATATGACTTAATTGCCAGTAGATCCTGCACCACTAACCTCTTGTCTACTTTGAATGAATGGACCCGCCTGCGGTGCGAAAGGAAGCCAGTGGATGCAGTGTAGGCCTACCTCGATTTTGCCAAGACATTTGACAGTATCCCACATGAGCGGCTGTTGCGTTAAATGAGGTCTTTTGGAATTGAGAGTAATGCACTAGAGTGGATTAGAGAATTTCCAGTATGGAGACGACAAACGTGTAAGTATTAATGGGACCGTATCAGACTGGGCTCCAGTACGCAGGTGCGTGCCACAAGGAAGCGTAATCTGGCCTGTTTTATTCGTTGCGTTTATAAACGATCTGGCAAAATACGTCGCAAAAAGTACAGTTGCAAGGTGATCTTGACAGGGCAGTTGGATGGGCTGATGCGTGGCAGCTGCGTTAAAATACTGACAAGTGTAAAGTAATCCACCTTGGCAAGAACTTTGAACAGCAAGATTGCAGTATTATAGAAGACATGCGTGCAAAGAGAGAGTGATGATGTCTAAGTCGATAATGGAAAAAGTTTTAGGAGTTTGTGTCGACAGTGAGTTGAAATTTTCTAAGTAAATTGAAGCTCAACTTAATAGAGCCAATAAACGATTTGGACTGTTCAAACGCTCCTACGAGTACAGAGATGCTGAAGCGGTGAAGCTGTCTGTTGTTTGTCCGAAGCTATTGTTGCGTCCGAACCTATAGTTAAGAAAGGCCGTGTGGGCTCCAAAACTAGAAAAGGACAAAATTTAGTCGAGAGTGTTCAAAACGCGCAACAAGGATTATTCCGGGATTAAAAGGCAAGTCTTATGAAGAACGAATAGAGATTATAAAACATCCAAGCCTCTGTTATCGACGTCTGCGTAGTGACCTCATTGAAGTATACAGGTATACCCACGGTTTATACAACGTCCCAGAAGAATTACTAGAATTTGAAACAAGAACCAACAACAGGGGTCACGGCTATTAACTAAATAAACTGCGCTGCAACTCACCCACGCGACAACATTTCTTCTTGCTTCGAGTCACCGACCTGTGGAACAGACTGTCTGATGACATCGTTGACTCTCCGAGTTTGAAATCCTTCAAGAACAGACTAGACAAAGCTATTCAAGAGCATATGTTCAGTTTTGGAATACCTAGTACTTTACGGTCCTTGTAATAAGTCCAGCAGCTATCTCACACAATCGTCAGTTATGGAAATATCGGGTTCAAAAGGACGGATCCCTTGTGAAACAAGTCACGTAAAGTATAAGAAACGGCAATAGGACACGGGCCTATTTCTTTGTGCCAACACTTCTATTTTATTCTATATATATTGCATCTGCATTGAACTGATTGATGTCTTTAAAATCGGTGTGAACTCTGTTGAGAAACTTTTGCACAACTGCCAATAATTTCCTGACGGTGGCTGATCTTTATAATGAGTAATGACAATATAGAACGAAGAACAATCCTAATTATTTAGCGTCAACGAAAAAACAGTATTCATTTGTTTTCAAGCGCTCACTATTCTTTATATTTCGCTGCCGCATCTTCAGCTTAAACCGGCGACCCTCTTTTGAAGAATCACATTACTACCCATCTTACCTTTTTAATAGGTTCAGAGACGACATGAAGGACTGAGTTTGTTCATGAGCAGCTGTTTGTCCACAATAACCTGTGGTTCTTCTTATCCCCTGCTGGATGCAGCCCATGATGATGATTTTGCCAAAGCCTCATTGTTTTCTAATTACTTTATACCCATAGCACCTGAGGATCCTTTACCTGCAGCAGAAGTCTCAGAGGCTGTCGGAGACATAGCCAATCTCAAACACTATCACTGTGTTCCTTTTACAGCTGGGGAATTTTCTTTGGCTCTGAAAGCTCTGAAAAATACTGCTCCGGGACATGACTCAATCATGAATATTTTCTTCTCTAAGGCATCACCTTTGTTCAAGCAGGAGCTGTTGTCTCTTATGAACAAGAGTTGGATCTCAGGTTTTGTTCCAGACACATGGAAGCATGGAATTGTTGTGCCCATCCCTAAGCCAGGAAAGTCGCAAGAACAAGTGAATGGATATCGTCCCATTACTCTTCTTCCTTGCATGGGAAAACTCATGGAGCGTATGGTCCTACGTCGTCTGGAATATACCTTGGAAAGACAAGGGGTTTTCACTTCACTTCAACTTGGCTTTCGAAAAGGAAAAAGTACAATTGACGCTCTTCACCTGTTAAAAAATGTCATCACTGCAGCACGCCTTGCCCATGAGTATTGCCTGGTTGTTTACCTGGACATTGAGGGAGCATTTGACAGTGTCTGGCATGATGGACTGCTTTTTAACTTTTATCTCTTCTTTCACACAACAACCACCGGCTGGTGAGAGTGAGCTAGAGATTAATCTGTGAACGACTGTTGGCAAGAGAAAGAAAGGCTCAGAGAAAAATCAAGTTGTGCTCAGACTGGGAGGTGTGATCTTATCATACCCGAAGTCTTAAAATCAATTAAAAAAAATAACCTGTGGTGTTGTTGCGTCACGGCCGTTGCTTGCCAGTACTTCGTAATCGCTATAGTCTTGACTCTTGTTTACATTTAGGTTTTGTGCGCTGCTGTGATAGGTGTCAGTGAGTATCCCGTCACCGGCGTCCGGCATTAAGTGCATTGTATTTAAAATGATGCGAGCTAAACATTTTTCGGAAAAAGGAACTCGGTGCAGTAGTTCGCCAGAAAATGTGGTCGTAAAAGAGGAGGATTTAAGCAATGACCCTTGGGATGCTGGATCTTCTGCTTCTATTGGTCTTGCAAGTGGTTCAAACAACTCTGCATTTTTACCCGTCCCTTATCGAGTGAGAAGAAATATACAGATTTTTTTTGCCTTGTATTTAGTTTAATTGTAATATGTAAGCACTTGACTTGAGTCAAGAGTGTCAAGTCATGTGTCACTAACAGTGTCAGACTGTCAGTAGTGAGTAGAGTACCTAGATACTGGAGTAGCATATTTATTGTATTCCTATTTGTATACCACTAAAGCATCAATTATGAAGAGTTGAAGACAATTGTGAATGTGTTACCAGTTTTTTGGGAGATTATTCTGTATTTCTGTTAAATTTTGTTTGCTAGTTCTGTCCAGACGAGAATATCTAACTGTGTGTGTGTGACTGATCTATTCTGGTATTACTTTTAAGTGCATCCAAAAAAAAGGTGTTTTTTTAATTATATGTTTTTTGGGGTGTAGATTAAGAATTTGAAATTCGTTTTTGGTGGTCGGCATCAGAAATTTTTAATGGAACCTGTACCTAACACTAACAGTCTAACTGGACCTAACCTGCAAGGTTTTTGTTGATCGGCTAAGTTTTTTTTATGTTTGGAGTCCGTCCGCGTCCGGCGGCCAGAAAAACCTAGCCAATAGGTTTTTTCCATGTTTGGAGTCCATCCGGACGGTCCGGTGGCCGGAAAAACCTAGCCAATCAACAAAAACCTTGCAGGTTAGGTCCAGTTAGGAACAGGTTCCATTAAAAATTTCCGATGCCAACCGCCAAAAACAGATTTCAGATTTTTAATCTACACCCCAAAAACATAATTAAAAAAACACTCTTTTTTTTGGATGCACTTAATCTAAAGTATTACCTTTATTCCATCCATTGTAACTTTGTAAGCATAATAATTTTGCTATTGATTTTTCAAAATTGCCTGTGGAAATGTATTGAATAAAATCATTTTTAACCCACTGTGCAGAGAGTGAACAAAGATTTAAAGACCTACGGTGACGCATTATCGGCAAAATTTTCGCCTTCAGAAGATCTTGCCGACACATTTAGATTGAAATTCTTGCATTTAATATATTTCTCAGTCTTCAGCCAACTATATAGAAAAAAAGTAAGGTTTCTGGTACGTTGGATGGATTACGATGCAGCGAAGCTTGTCTGGAAATCAGTTGCGATGAGTTCCCGCAAAAAATATAAACGTTTTTTCGATTGCGTAGTTTCAGTCACATTAGAGCAGTCAGACTGCTTTATTACATGTTCAGTTGACGCTTGCTGTACAATCGGACTGTTTTTAGGGTAAAATTAGTTATTTGTGGTAACACATGCATGCAACCTTGTAATAAGTTCGTGGCTTGTAAATAGTTTGTCATTACTCAGCGTAAATGGCTTTTCATTAAAAATTACCCGACGACGCATCTTTAAAATGGCCGGCAACGCTTTGGGCTTAAAAATCCATATATTGGCGACGCTGCATCCACCCTCTGCATAGTGGTTTTTAACAGGTGTTCTATCTGGCTTATTCATGTTTTTTGTCTTTAATTTCTAGCTGGCTTGTATGTTCAGTACATGTCCAATTATTCTATAATTATCTGAGGTGTGAGGTCAAATACTAATAGTACAACTTCTGCATTCTGCAAGTAAACATAAATCAGTCATCTGTCCTGTCACCTGTGAACATCTTCTGTTCTGTTCTGTGTTACAAGCCTAGGTTTAGGCAAAAATAGACCTCCTCTGGCTTCTCATGCAACATGCTCAGTTCAAAAAATTTGAAAGCCATAATATTACATTTATGCTGGCCAAACATTCAGGACACCATATTTTTATATCATTTATTCAATAATCACACCTGAACAGCAAGTTTTTATCCTTAATTTTTAAGAAAATCTGAACAATAGCATTCAAATCTAGACCAAATATTATTTAAATTTCAAATGTTCTAACATATTTTTTACACTCTAGGAAAATATAAATTCTAATTCCCACTTTCAAGATATTTATATGTGCTTTCTATTGAAAGGCAGCAACTCAAGTTATCTGGCATTACCAGTAAATACTATTTAGCTTCCTAGACTTCTACAGAATAATATTTGCTGATTTTTTTGCTGCATCAATTGAACAATGGTTGAGCCATTCAATAATGGAAAACTAGAGATATTTAATTCCCATCATCTTGTTCAGAAATCCTTTTGATAAATTTTTACTGAATTTAGAATTAATTATCAAAAATTTTACATCTCAGTCTCACTCCCAGAAACTTCAGTTCAAAATTATAATCAGACATATTCAAACTCTATCTTGGATTTTGTCTTAACATAGTTAAATATTGCTTTTCTTTTATAAGACTATAGTAACAATGTAGGAATGAAAAACATATTGTAACCCTTAATCAATTTTTCAGGCTGTTACAGTGCTGACCAACTTGCAGCGAGGTAATGTGCAGACTGAAGAGAGTGTTCTGGTTCCACAGCAGATAAGTTGGCACACAAGAGCAGCAATGGGGGAAATAAATGCTCAAGATCTCAATCAGGTGGCACACAATGGTAAAAATTAATGAATTGTTCATTACATTAATTCATGCTTTAATATTGTCAGAAGCCATGTGTTGGGAGTGATGGCAAATGACTGTGTCCTACAGAGTGCATAGGATCTGTTTATTCTAGGCAATGTATTGATAAATTATTTAACACAATCTTTCATTGTTTGCCTGGATTTTGGTTTTCCAAGAATTTGAGTAGCTTTAAGGAAAGTGTCTTTTCTTGAGTTTTCAAATTTTGTTCATTAATATTTCAGTGTGTGGCAACTGACTCATTCCAAAAACTTGAGTTTACTGAGTTCAGTTGACTTGACTTTGCATTGAAATGTACTCCCTTTTGATTTGTGTTATTATTTTGATTTTGCTTGTTATCCATTTTTATTTTATGTGTTTCTTCAACATAGTTGAGCTTAATATTAACATATAATATGAAAAAGTAATTCTTTAATCAATACATAATTATTCAGTTGTAGTGAACAAGGTTTAATATATATTAAATATATACTGATATGTAAATTCCTTTTGCAGGTCCAGATCAAGAAAGTATCAATTTTGAAGACAGTTGTGGGCTGACAGCCCTCTGCTGGGCAGCCTCTTATGGCCAGGTTCCCACAGTCCGCTTATTACTAAGCAGGGGCGCTGAAATTGAACATGAGGTTAGTAACGAGGACTTAGAGAATAGATATTATTGTATATAATTCTTTTGTGCCCTCAGATTTATTTTTGATGATCCTATTTCCCTTAAAATTTATGCTTCCTAAATATATTCATTTTTTTAGGAATATTTTTACACAGTATTTTTTATTGGTGTGTGTTTTCTGCTCATCATATAGGTGTATAGGTATATGCATTGCATACTATTGGTAACTCAAAAGGAACTGGTAATATATACATAAAACCATTGACTTGGGCCATTGACACGGTGACTTGCAACATTTTGACATTTAAGGAAATAAAACCCTATACTCTTATAGTTCTTGCCTCAAAAAAAATTTGTTGATGGCTCTTGAAGCACTATGAAATAATCTTCAAAAGCAATAAATCGATACATACCTATATTCTATATATTTACTATGTGACTATTATATGTATAACACAAAAAATTAAGCACGAAAATTGGTCCAGGTCACACTGGCAATGGTCCAAGTCACTCATTTTTATGGTAGTAGGTAACATAGATTCTTCTGATGGTGCTCCAAAAATGTATGGTTGTAAACAAAGAAAGATTTTCTCATAAGATAGAATTTAGCCCTATGAAGAAATGTTAATTTCTGTTTTTTAAGTCTCTATTTTGAAAATAAATTTTCGAGTTTTGTTATCTACTTATCATAGCATTAATTTCAGATTCAGGAAATAAATGAAAACTTTGAATTAATTTTGAAAATTGATAGAACTATTGAACTAGGCCAACCTACTGTGAGACTTGAATTTTTTATTCAATGAAAATAATGAGTACTCTTGTTAATAAGGCATTAAATTTAACCATATTCAAGATTTGAATAGTTGGATGTGATCATCACAAATCATCATGACTGTTCTTGACATTCTCATCCTCTCTGCCTCTCTTGGCATTCTCATCCTGTCTCCCCACAATCATTGTAATCTACTCTTCCCCTTCATCTTGTTCGTACTCCACTCCTCACTCTCGCCTCCCTTATTCGCAATTTCCTCCATCATAACCCCCAAGCCATCTCTCAGTACATCCTACCTTCCACCATCAGTTACTCTACATTTTTCTTTATACCCCCATCACCCATACAGCACTAATCTTTTCCCCTGATATTCTCAATGTATGTATAGTTGTCCTCGCCTAGTGCTTCTGCCCTTACACTCAACAATCCTTATCTCTGCTACCATCATATATACATTCATTATTTATGCATAAATTATTTTGATACTGCTTTGGCTGCTACGAAAGCATAACATTGGTACGTACTTTGCTTGCAGAGATTATTATTTGCAGGGAGAAGATGGCCAGACAGCCTTGCAGTTGTGTTGTGCTGCAGGACATCACGAGGTGGCTAAGGTGCTGCTGGCAGCGGGGGCTGACCCCAACCATGCTGATCACGTGAGAGGACTATGCTTGCTTGATCAGCATATCAAGCATCGAATAGATGATGTGTGCCTTTAGTAATTAATCATATTACCCAGGCCTCCATATTTCATGCCTCTTATCAACTTCAGCTTCTCTTTGCTTGCTGAAAAATTTACCAGTAACTTGGCTAGTTTTGAGAGAGGGCTAATTTAAATGGCTGTTAAAGTTAATTTTCACATGCTTCACAAGGCTCTGCTCAGATTAGCCAGGCTGGTTATGTAAGGGAGGTGCAATATTAATCATTATTTCATCTTTTCCATTCATCAATAATGTGGCAGCATTACGTTACGTCGAGCCAAGTCTTGTATTTTGCTAGGAGATGTTATTTCTTGCACCGACGGTCATGTGCTCATAAGTTGTGACCTAGGTTGTCGTTGAGGAAGGGCAGTGACTAGAGTGTGGTCAAAAAGTCTGAGAGAATCTGCCCAGCGGGCAATGGGCAGTTTTATGTGAATGTCGCATGTCATTGAATCTTTTTTAACTCCACTCAAGCGTCACCACGCGCTGCTGCGTCACGCTCGCCGTAACCGAGGCAGTTTAATGTAACAATATTTTTATTATCCCTTACTTTGAAACTTCCTTCAGCAAGGAAGCAAAATCTGTCAGTCAATCTAATTTTTTTCCTCTTATTTGGTGTATGAAGATAATTTACACCATAAAAATTAATATTTACGAAGGCTGTTTTTTCAACTTCCAATGTGGGACAACAATTGAACTAGTGAGTAGTAAGAGTAACGAAATAATTTATTATCAAAGGTGAGGTACATAATTAGTTACTTTTCAGCAAAATTACCATTTAAATGGAGGCATTTTTTACACTTGGAAGCAAGCTTCTTCATACCTTGTTCATAAAAGTTGGCTGCCAGTGATTAGAGATGGGTTTTCATGGCGTCTTGCAGCTCGTCATCTGTTCGGAAGCTCTGCCCACCTAGCATCTTCAGTTCCGGTAAAAGGTTATAGTAGCTCGGCGCTAAGTCAGGACCATACACCGGATGATCAGAAATTTCCCATATAAGCCCGTCTAGAAGACGTTACGTGAAAGCAGCAACGCGAGGACGGGCGTTGCCGTGAATAAACACTACTTCCGATGTGAGCATTCCTCTCCTTTTGTTCTGGATAGCTCTCCACAAACATTGTAATGTACCGCAGTATCCTTCCGATCCTTCCGCGTAAATTGTGGTCCTTCGATCTAAAATTGATAGTTGTCCCTGGCTCTACAGTGAATTTATACTATGGATAACCCTTCAGCTTGCAAAAACGAATAACACTTCGCAAGTCACTCATGCCGAGTGATTCTATCATGGTAGCCATTTTTATGTGTCACTAGACAAACGGGTAATGACGTACGCCCGAAAACGAGTGAGTTGTAGTAGGTAAGCTGTGCAGTCGACTACCGCTCATTGCTGGTCGATGCCGCGCGCCCTGCCGTCTAGCTCCACGATCGGAAGTGGAAAAAATATATCAGTAGTCACTGCAGTGAGTGACAGAGAGCGCATTTTTCTCGTTGCCGAGTATCATGGATACTCGGCAACGTGAAGTCACAGACAGACGGACGAACGGACATGACGAGCACAATGGCGCTTTTTTCATAAATGAGAAAATGCGCTAAAATCAGCCTTCGTATATGTATTAGAAAGTTGAACATGGAACATTTCATTGTTAATTTACTTAGTATGGGCTGAAATTTTAGCATTTTGTTTCAGATGAGCTGCTCGCCTCTGATGTTCGCTGCTGCCGAGGACCACGCGCAGTGCGTGTCTGAGCTGCTGGACCACAAGGCGTCTCTCACCGCCACCAACTTCACAGGAAACACTGCATATGATATAGCGTGTCGACGTAACTCTTTGAAAGGCAAGCATCTAATTTTAACGAATCTCGTATCAATCTCCTATAAAGTTTTGTCTATACCATTAAATTTCGTTAAAAATCTATTATTAATTACTAAAAATTCTTGTTGATAAATTTTCATTGTTAAATTTTAGCTCAACTATTATTTTGTTTAATGGTTCCAGTTGCGAACGTGTTTGTATAATTATTGTGTAATTTAATTATAAATTACACAATAACAGTATAATTATTGTGTGGCTGTAACTTTTGCAATTCTGTGATGATAGGTATATTCGGCTAAATATTAGGGTTTTGTTATGTTTGTTATTAGAAGGTCAAGAGCATTTATTAAGCTTTAGGGGTTTTGCGTTACAATAGCTTTGAAGGGCATTCTCCGTAAGACTGAGCAATTCTTTTCTATATTCTTACGGTCTTGTTCTTAATATATTTTTTACCATAGTAAATTTTTTTCTAAATTTTGACCTAATTTTTTTAGGGTTACCATCTTACGTTCACAATGATATTGTATGAATGGCATTTTCCGTAGGACTGAGCAACTCTTTACTATGTTCTTACGGTATAGACCTTAATATTGTTTTTATTACTAAAATAATTCTGTAATATCTTGACCTAATTTTGTTTTGGTTACTATCTGACGTTGACAGCCCAAGCGGTGATGGAGCGCTACCTGCTTCGACTGTTAGACAACACCTCGTGATCGGAGACGCGCGGCGCCAGTCAATGTACCTGCTTACCTTCACGTATTTTTTTATAATTGGTTTTAAGACTTGTGGTGTACAAAGCAACTCCCAGCCTGGGGCCATACTTTCAAAACTCGCTAATTGAACGTAAGTACTTACGCTCTATTTTCTTGTTTATGATTGGCGGATTTTGCTTGAAAGGCCGTCAATGATTGGCTGATGAACTTACGATCTCTTAACCTTTTTTTTTAAAGTATAGTGCACGTAAGTACTTACGCTCTATTTTCTTGTCTATGATTGGTGGATTTTGCTTGAAAGGCCGCCGATGATTGGCTGATGAACTTACGATCTCTCAACTTTTTTTGAAAGTATGGCGCCTGCTTCTGGCGCCAATGCGCAGGTTTCCAAGAGAATGCAGCAGGCCTCACAGCTAGAAGTTTCTCATGTCACGAGACTGAAATACCTTTAAGGGGTTTTGTTCCGATGTATCCAGATTTGTGTTTTTTACTGAAAAAAATTATGTATGAGGAGTTCGTTGAATATGTATGTATTTTATCCCTGTACATTATTGTAATTCATGTGTTGTATTTTGTTAATATTCTGCATTTCATTTGAGTATGTACTTCATTTTGAATAACAACAGAATTTATTTATTCCCACCAAAATTGTGTTGAGCTATTAAAAAAGAAATTAATTTGTTTACATTTTTATAAACTCAGTTATCATTCACGCCCCCCCACAGCGTTTTTGAAAGGATGGTGTAGCTAAAATATCGTGTATGGTCCCTCGAAAAATTCCGCTTTACCATCAAACTGCAACTCTGCTTTCGCAGGTTTTATTCACGAAAATTTATTTTTATTTACTTAAATATGCTAGTATATCAAGGGAATTAGTGTTTGCAAAACGTGCTTACAAGGTAATGTTACTCGGATTATAATTCTGTAATGTAAAAAAAAAATGTCTGCTGAACTCGTGTTTTATACCATTTATGTCCTACCTACCCAGGATCTGTGAGTGAAAACATCGAGATTATAAATAAAAGTTTCGGGCGTTTAGTATGAATCGATGAGTAGAACTGTTATCGAACGGTCCCTTGTTTTTTTATTTTATTTTTTGGAGCCGATTATTCCTGAAAGTAATATTTGCCTGGTCGAAGTTGAATAAACCTTGGTCATTTAACTTCATTGTTCTTAACTCATTCATTTTGCTGCTTAGGATGAGCTTTTAGCATTTGTGCTTTAAGGCTGTCTGGAATGTTGGTATAGTAAAGTATCTTCGGCGTTGAAGAATAGGCTTGTCGCCGATTCATGCACTTTTCTTGACTAGTTCACAAGATCTGAAAGACTGGCCTTTTGATCAAATCCTTTCAACGGACTGTAGATTTGAAATCGTTTCTAGAGTTTCAATTGTTCCGTAGGGTACTAGGCATTTCAAGATTAAACATATGCTCCTGCGCAGCTTTGATCAGTCTGTTCTTGGTTCTTGAACGCGCGGATACTCAGAGCGTCAACAATATCTTCAGGGAGGCTGCTAGCTCTAACCTCGCGATATTGATCTCAATTTAAACGCTCCAACGGAATTTTATTCAAAATTTTTATGCTATGACAACTTAAGATATTTAACCGTTTCTGAAACTATGACGGTTAAAGCTCACCCAGAGCATTGATTTACGCTTGCATTCTACTGCCGCTGAAAGGGCTTATAGCAGTGGACGCGCTGAAGCTTAAGGGGTCAGTTATTGTCCGTTATTTGTTGCTTTGATAAATGGTTTAGTGCCTTAATAGAAACCTAAAACGCGTTGCAGTTGTAGCCATACAACCTTATCCTGGTCCTTATAGCTCTCTGTTGCAATTCAAACGATATAACTTACAAGAGGCGCTAAACTTATTTAGCATAAAAACAATGCAAACGATGGTGAATAAGTAGTATTAGAAATTCGCAGCGGTACGAGGTGACTTGGGACTTGGAGGACCTCTAGGTTGTAGATCTCTATTGCTAAAAATATGAGACGTACATGATGCAAGCAAAAAAAATAGGTGTGTCCATTTTTTTATCATAAGAATGATAAAAATATTATCATTAGAAAGCATTTGATATTTTTCACGAGGATTATTAGTCTACAGTTAACTAAATCACTGAATTCAAGTCTGCTCTTTTCTACCCAATAATTTAAATTCAAATTCACGCATGCATTTAGGTAGAAACTCATGAATAATTTATTTATGCCGTTTTTAAATCTTTTACGACATGTTTGAATGTAATAAAAAAAACTAACATTTAAAGTGTTAATTTCAAATTCATATTCAAAGTGCTTATAGTTACTACATTGGTCCTGTTATTATGTTTTTGCGTCTATACTGTGAAGTGCCATTCGTAATTTGTCGGAGTTGACAATGAGATGAGTTCTTGAATAGCGGCAATGCAATTCTGTCCTAATTCGTCAGAATAACAAAAATCTCCTTAGTTGTTAGCGTCATAAAGTAAGTGCACACTTTATTCAATCGATAAATTTTATTGGTAAGTTGACTGCAGTACCGTGGCCGAACGGGACTGGTAGTAGTAGATGGCAGTGCCACTGCCACCGAACTGAGCGAACTCCGAAGCCGCTCCTAAATAAACCTAGGTAGCTTTGTAGTTAGTAGCTAGCGCTAAAGCGCCTGCCATTTTGCAGAATTTTGTCATTTCCCATGGATCTAGCTTAATTTATTTGATGAAAGAAACATTTTTATTATGAATATTTAGAATAATCAGCCTGATAGTGATATTCTAGATTTTGTGGAGTGGAACTTGAATCAGTTAAATGCAAGTTATGCAACTAAATTGATTAGCTATCCTAATATGTTTACATTATTATGTTCATTTCAGACACAAGCCTGCAATCTATTTTCATCTATTTTCTACTGTAAAGCTTCTTTCAAAGTTTCAAAACGGTTAAACTTAAAGAAGCTGTAGTGCTGTACTGCTGTACTTGCCATGGTCAGGAAGATGTGCCAGGTGCGCGGGAATTTATATTGTCATTTTAACGACCTGCGCGGTGCGCCGTACTATGCCGGTAATAAATGTGCTGTGCGCCGACAGCGCCGTACTTTTAGAAAGCTAAAATAGTTTAAATATGGATGCACGGCAATGCAAATTACGTAATTACACTGACCGTACACACAAACGTGTATCCGCACTGTGTTGTGGTTGGATACGAGTTAACTAGATTGCTACCGCGTCAACTCAGGACTCAGGTTCTAAGAGTCTGCACAGTAATGAATATTCATTCATAGATCACAATTCAATCAGACATGAATTACAGAACTAAAGAAGGCAACATGGCTTTAGATGTGCCATCGGTGCCTTCTAATGAATGACTGGACTGGTTGTGGCAAGTAGGGTATGAACCTGTATGTCAACAGTACGACATTACCGACATCCTCCCGGCCGGCAAAATCAACACGATCAATACCTAATAACAATGCACGTAAATGGACTATACAAATTAGGTCAATATGGCATAATTACAGAGCGTAATTATGCTATGTGATACATAATATGAATATATATATTTGCAAGATAAGTCAATGGTCTGTGGTTTATTTTTGCTTCATTTGAGCAATAATGGTTTCCAAATTTGGGTGCGTTATGTTATGTCATGTGTACTTTGAATGTGCAAAAATTATAACTATCATATGAAAATTGTTATGTAGGTTATCATAGCATGAATCACAGTAGAGTATCAAGATTGCAGCTCTGCCACCAGCCTTCATTGAATTATCCAGCCTTTTTTCTAAAATTCAATAATCTCTCTTCCAGCAAAGTTTGCGAAATTCATTAGCTGCATAAAATACTCTCTGCTGTGGTGTTTGAGTTCTGGTTGACATGAAAACTTGCAGTTCCAAAAATGGCGGGAAAGCCTAATTGCGCCGCTCTGAAGGCAATTCATATAAATAATAATATAATCCACGCCTACGCTGGAGGAAGTTCAAACTTCAGAGGTGGAACTAAATGCAGTAAATTTGCAGTAAGTCAGAAAATACCAGAAAAATACCAGATTTAGGCATATATACCAGATCTAAAATATTCATACCAGACACCTTTTGAAAATACCAGATTTCTGAAATCTGGTATAGAAATATACCATCTGGCAATGCTGGTTCAGCGTTATTTGAAATCATCTACAGACGATGTTGCCATTCCATTCAGATGAAAACTGTGTCTAAATCAGAACTGTGTCGGACGGCTCCGCGGCCCGCGCCGAGTGCTGCGCGGCGCGGAATCAATGACCGTGATTTGCACGAACGCCTGCTCGAAAAAAATATAATTAGATTGATTTATGCGAGAAATTTCCCCGTTTATATACATCTTCCTGAGTGTGGGCTACGCCGACGCTTGCGCGCGCTGCGCCGATGCTTGCACGTGCTGCGCCAGCGCTTGCGCGTGCAAGCAGGGATGGCCAGAAGTTGCACCAACTGTGCGCCGCAATAGCTTGAAAAAAGTCAAAATGCGCGGGAAAATTCCCTGAAAACATACATAATCCTGAGTGTGGCAGTACTTGTAGTGCTGACATGACCTAATTACCTGAATGAATAAGTTAAATTTAGGATTAATTAGATTTTAGCCTTAAATGTAAAGTTTTCTTTGATTTCAATGTCTTTAGATAATCATTTACCGACTCTTGCATGTTCTTTAATTTTGTCAAAACTCTAAATGCATGTCTGTGTTTAATATCTTCTGAAGGCTTTTGCTTTTCTGAGTTATGTTATGATATTTTAGGTATTCTGGACTCCTGTTATAAGTATTTTCTACCTATCCAAATTTCAATTGGTAATATGGGTGGAAATTAAAACAAATTGTGCTTATAAATAAAAGGAAAATACTGTAAACAAATATAAATCTCTCATTTTTCTCTAAAGAAATTAATAAAGAAATACAAAAGCCAATGGAATTCACATAATAATGATTAATGGACATTTACGTTTGATTCACAAGTGGTTACTGCCCAATTATCTAGTTGAATTCCCCATTCAGTAATCAGTAATATAGGTAAGTTGACTGGTGAGTTTCATGGAAATTAGCATTTAACACATGAGGCCTGTTTTTAAAGTAAGTACCATTTTGAAATGGAAAGTATTTATTTTTTATTGAAAAATTATTTATTCATGTGATTATGTGAAAGGTCATACTACACTCTAATATTTTATATGATTATCAATAATATTGAGACATTCATAGTATCTTGGTGCCAGCTCTTGGATACCATTGTTAAAAAAATTTGCCGCCTGTTAGACAACTTGATTTGACAATTTTTTAAAGAATGCTCCTCATTAGTAACAAATCAAATTCTTAATAGGAGGCATAGGAAAATCATGTAAACCAATGCAGATGACGCCATTGTATGGTTTTGTAATGGTGTTACTGACTAACTTACTGTTAGGGGCCTCCCTACAGATGGCACACATGAGCTTAATAGTGACTGCAGTGCTGCAGCATCATTATTATAAAACAGTGCTTACTCCAAAAACATGTCTCATGCTTTGAATGAGTGTGTGTTTAAACAATAAACAGAGATTGATATACCAATGTGGCTATCCAGCTTGATGAGTTCAGCTATTCAGCTATTATTAAGTAAAATTACAATCAAACGTATATAAAAATCTATTATTAAGTACTGGTGCATCCTCAATTGCAAAACTGGGAAGATATCTTTATACTGGTTTAATAAGCAGATTTTTTCTGCTGATTTAAATATGAATCTATCTCTGCTTAGTGATTATTTTGCTTTCTGTGGGTCTTTACTCCACTTATAGTCAAATGGGGGAAGACAGGATCACAGCCTTCATGGGGTAAGAAAGAACCGGCCCATGGCATGCATTCTGATTGCACTGAATTTAATTTGACAAAAGAATATGTTAGAGCAATCATTGCCTGTCATTTCAGTGTTTGTTTCAACCCTCTTCTGCAAATAATGAATTTCTGGCTAATTTTTAAAGAAAATCTATGTAAAGAAGGGTCACAAAATAGTTAACCCTATTTGGGAAATAAGCTCTGTCTAATGACAAAAAATTTTTTGGCCACGTTTGTGGATGTAGGCAGGTAACCTCAAGTAATAAAATGTATAAAAAAAATTTTTAAAGACCACGTTTTTCATGTGGACTCAAAAGTAGAAAATAATTTTTCGGAGTTATCGGGAGCTCAGCTTCCCTAAAAGTTTCAGAGCGCTAGCTAATGTGAAAGTTGGTGAAATATCGATTGCAAGATTTGATCATCACAGACACGAAAGCGAGCTAAGAAAAACGTTGTAATAAGCAACTTTTGAGACATACTAGGCATTCCTACCTGCTATCATCACTGCCTGACAACTATTCTAAAATGGGGTAAAAAGGGCCAGACATGGGGTAAGACGGGACCGCTAAATGGTCATGTTTTACCCCACAAATGGTCCTGTCTTACCCCACAAATGGTTCCCATAGTTTATCGAAAATAGCTTTTAAATAAATATATTATTGTGCATAAGTATACATGGAGTATTTTGGTCAAAATTTTCATCTTTTGCTTAAAATAACCATTCTAACTTGTTAGCTTTTTAATTAGATAAATTTAGCATACTATTCTGAATTGCATCATGGGGATGGAGAAAATAGGGATGTCTCTTCCCATTAGTGAGCTGCAGAACAATGTGCAAGAGTGGTTGGTGGAAAAATCATTGTGTGAAACATAAAAAATAATTATTATCACAATTTTGTGAGACTGCATGGGCTATGTTTGAAGAAGTGCACCACAAATGCAGTTAGTAAGAAAACACATGCCATCCGACTCTTAAGTCGGACTCTTTTCCATTGGTTTTATTACCAATTTGATAAATTTTCAGACAATGACACTAATGGAATATACATGTATCATTTGGCAGTGCTCTACAATGACTCAAAGCCAACCTACTATTTCTATGCTTAACGAAGTTTTCTCGTGGCAAAAACTCCAATGTGACTGATATTAGAGTTGACTTCCTGCAACACAAAACAGTAACAAGTGGTTGTTTAATCAAATAATGTGTTTCTAGATGGATAATATTGAATATCAGATTTATATTTTTATTAAAAACCTTGTAACATAAGAATTATCTGTTGGTCCTTTCTTACCCCAGCCTGGTCCCATCTTACCCCAATGGGGTAAGATGGGACCAGCTCACTTTTTTTAATCTGTACAGAAAACTGTGTTGTATGCAAAAAGTCTGAGTTGTAGCTTTGAAGCCCATTGCATAACCACACCTTGTGATTAGTTTAGGATTTTTTACTTATTCATGGTATAGATGCTACATGCCTGTTAGTGATTTTGGTCCTGTCTTACCCCATCTGACTATACCTCTTTGATATGTAAAGCTTCACATCAAACGCACAAAACTCATTCCAACTATATTAAAGATTGCGTACTCACTAATGATGAGCTAATGATGATTTATATCAATGGAATCATTATTGTAATTTTCAGCTCCAGCTACATAGGTACTTTAAAAATATAAAATTGGTTTAGTTTTTGATTAGTTCCTGATCCTGGATTATGTTTTCTATAAAAATGTGCACAGGTCTCTTTGAATTTGCACAAAAATTATATTTCGTCCTGCAAAGTACCTTATTTCTATTAGTATTATTTTTATTTTATTCTTCTCTGGGGAAATTCTTCATTAATTTCATCTTATCTCTCAAACTTGTTATTCATTTTAATTTTTTGCAAAATGAACTTTATATTTGATTGAAATTTATTTCATAATTTTCCATATCATCTGCAAATCACAAGCGTGAAATGTTTTTTTCTATACAGTCACTTTCAAAATAGTAATAATTTTATACAAATGCAAATATACATTGTGATTTGGAATGTCTACACAAATCACTTTTATGCACATGCAATAAGCTCTGAAAAATAATTTCATCAATAGCTATCCTTGGTTGCCAACTAGTCTAGCTAGTAAGTAGTTTTCTATACATGCCACATTCTTTATTAAAAATATCTTTACTGTCAAAAAATTTCTTCATTGCTCTCATGTTGTTCCATATTGTGTTCAATTTCAGTGGAAGCTCAATTCTGCTGAGTTACCTAAAGATATCTTGTAATTTATTGTTAGAACTGTGATCATTTTGACAAACATATCCATGCTTGGGTAACATACATTATGCTGCAAGTTTAGGATGTAAAGACACAGTAATAGATAAAAATTCATAATCAATTTTAGCTTATTTGCTATTGACACACCCTACTTTAAATTCTAAAATGCAATTTAGTTCTATTTTTGTTTGCAGATGATGATGCTCATTGGGCAATGCTGAGTCCAGCCAGCGACCATGACTCCCCTTCGGATTCTTGTCTTCCCTTGTTGGCGTCTTCTAGCCTCTTCTCAAACCTTTCATCTTCACGGCCTGACGCTTGTTCTTCGGAGACAGATGGAACCAATTTTACAGATGCTGCGGCCAATAGAGTTCTTTCAACTATCATCTCTAGCGCCGACGATCTCTACTCGAGTATCGAAGTCGATTCACCTTCTCCCAAGAACGGCCCCTACAGTCCCCTCGTCCTCGACGCAACTCTAGCGCACAGCTCGGGCGAGAATATTGCCGGCAATTATGGACCCGTAACACGAACCTCAAAAACAAATATTCATGGCGATTGCCAAAGCAATTCTTCCACGAGGCATTTGTCTCGCTCATCATCGCTTCCTAGTGGTCGACATCCTAAAGCTCTTGGCCTTAAATCTTCTCCTGGCATAGCCATTGCTGAAGTCATTGTTAGTTTGGACTCTGTTTCGACCGCCTCAGTCACATCAAATATTGGAGAAACTTTCGTACCGCCCTCAACGAGCAAACCTCGATGTCAGACACGCCATCCCCAAGACAGCAAGTCTATCAACAACGTAAACAACGAGCGCCTCTCGTTGACGCGCGACCAATTCCCTTTACCTGAAACAGAGCCGGAATCTTTTTTCAATTTGTCTACTCATGAGGCGGCAAATCAACAGCTTTCTAATTCCATTTCAATGTCAATGGCAGTAGACTCGCCTCCTAACCCTAAACTTACGACGATGACCGATGCTGCTAACAAAGCCAACCGAAACTGCAAACTCACGGATGCCGAGGCACGAGTCATGTCTCGCAAGAAGAACTCGGCCGACGACGACAGTGTCAGCGACATCTCCCGAGACGAAACTACTCCGGATATTGGTGAGTAAGACATTAAAATTAGTTTATTGCTTTACATTTAAAAATTTCGTCATTGAGGCAAAGAGTTTTTGATGAGATTAATTTAGTCTTTTAGACGGGCAACGGCGATCGCATGATTTTTAAACAGATTTAGCCAGGGTAACTCGTTAATTATTCGCAGTGAACGTCGATGTTTTCTTAGCAATAAAGTTCTACATTCAATGGATCGTTGTCAACAAATTTCTAGAGTGCTTTCATGGCAGCGCAAGCAGAGTCGAAAGTGAATTCATTCTCACATGACTTCATCTGTAGAGCGTCGTGTAATCTTTCTTTTGACCTTCACTTTCGTTTATTCTTCACCGGTTATTGTTTTTATCTTTTAAAGTCGTAACTCGACCTCAAACTTCGTGCCTGCTGTGGTGAGTGACACCGTCGCTGAGCCTGCGTTATGCAACAAACTTCTTGCATGCTGTGGTGAGTGACACCGTCGCTGAGCCTGCGTTATGCAGCGTTGAAATGTTTACCGGTTATTGTTTTTATCTTTTAAAGCCGTAACTCGACCTCAAACTTCGTGCATGCTGTGGTGAGTGACACTGTCGCTGAGCCTGCGTTATGCAGCGTTGAAATATTTACCGGTTATTGTTTTTATCTTTTAAAGTCGTAACTCGACCTCAAACCTCGTGCATGCTGTGGTGAGTGACACCGTCGCTGAGCCTGCGTTATGCACCGTTGAAATGTTCGCTCGCAAAGCCGTACTCCGTGCCATGCAGATCGCGCGGCATGCTCAGCCTGCGCCGTGTAACTGACGGATTTTGCTGCGTGTGCTTGCATACCTGGCGGCCGCTGGTGCCTTGTTGTTGCGAGCTGATGTTGTTGCCACCAGCCATCGGTGTTGCCATCAGCAATTGTTGGTGGCAGCCATTGATGCCGGCAGCCATTGGTGATGTCACCAGCCATTGGTGATGTTACAGGCCATCGGTGTTGCCACTAGCCATCTGTGTTGACATCAACCATTGAAGATGCCATCAGCAATTGTTGCTGGCCGCTATTGTTGCCGGCAGCGATTGTTGCCGGTAGCCATTAATGTTGTCACCAGCCATTATTGCTATCAGATATTGTTTTTGTCACTTACGATTACCATACATCTTATAATCACTGTATGACTAGGGATTATGGTGTAGAAGCACACTTCAATTTGAAGCATTTCAATCATGCATGCATATTAGTCTCGCTGAAACTCTTCAGACTATTTTTATATCTCTTATTTACTTCATTTATTTGTGTTACGCAGCGCGCCACTGCTGAAATAATCCAGCAAGCCTGGTAGGAATATCATTACAAATAACGACCTTATTGAAACGGCTCCGGTGCAACGTGACCTGATCTGCTTTTTTCTTGCCTAATTAGATCGCTTTAACGGCTCGTTAATAGCACCCGTTTATATGGCCGCCCTGCACTTTATTGTCCCCTGGTAAATAAAACTGGCTTCCTATAACCTTAGTTTGTTCATTTTCCAGCTTCTCACGGCATTTATGAGGCATTTCTTTTATAACACGCGCGGTCCAAAGCAGCGTCGTTTGTTTCTTCGTAATCGACGTACCTTGATAGTCTAGTCAAGGTATTTTTGAATATTTTTCATTTCATGTTTGAATTGAATATAATAAAAGGGATTGGGATAAATAGTTCCTATAACAATTATATTTCACAGCTAGGTAGTCTTGTTAAATATTTTATTGGAATTAAAATGATGTTAGTTGAAGAAAAACCCGTTCAAACCCTCGTATTTAAAAACTTCTAATTTTAACCTCAGTTCTAAAATTTTTAAAAAAGTCGGAGCTCGTATAGTGAAATTTTAGCTTATATTTTCGATTACTTGTTTTGATTAGTACCTGTTTGCATTTGGGTTAGACCAGATTTGATATGTCAAGATCGCGTTATGTTTCTTTCAAGTTAATTCGTAACTTGGCCATAAGCATTTTTTATCGTCTTGCCGGTCTGGGGCGGCACTATAAAAATTTGCTTACGTACACGTAGCCGTAGCCGCTTATATGTACACTCATATTTTAGCAAGATTTAGCATATGATTTTTATTTTAGCAAGATTTTCTAACTCGCATTGTGTAGACGTAGCCTTCGATTTCTCGTCTTTGCGTTTTGCTTGAAAAGTTGTCAGTGATTGACTGACAGAGTTACAAACTTTTTAATATTTGTGATAGTTCGGCTCTAGAAATGTCGGTGTAAAGTCAAGGCATCATTTTTTGCGTAACTTCTGCTGTAGTTGCTTGCCACTCTTCTAGCTTGTCATTCCCTGCCGAGCACCACTCGCCGAGCTTGTCATTCCCTGCCGAGCGCCACTCGCCGAGCGCCACTCTTCNCGCCTATGTTTGCCTTTGCTTGATTGCATCCATCGTATCCATCGTTGTTTACTGGTGGGCAATAGTCAAATCTTACACAATCATTAAAGTGGTCTCGTTTGAAGCGTATTTGTAAATGATATCTTGATGGCTCAATCAATCTAAGCTATTTGACATTCATTTGGTACACGCTATGCTCTAGGAAATTGAGAAGTCATACGTAATGTGGTAGCGACCAAATCACCCACCCGCGCTAATGAGCTCAAACTTAATGCACATTAACAAAATATATATTTCATTGCATTTATAATGCAATGCTCTTTTATCATACACGAAATTAAGGTACGTGTGCAGCCTTTTACGCCAAGAAATCGCCGTTCAGTTAATACGTAATAATATAATTATTGTAATGTTTGTACTGACTTTGCGGTGCCCGGGGCAGCTTGACTGTAGATTGTTTGGGAGGACTAAGTATGCGCTTTAATGAAATTTGTAGTTAACTGAAGTTTTTATTTCATTTCAATTTACTACTTTCGCATACGGCAACAAATTGACTTCGTATTTTGCACTAAATATGAATAATTCGATGTTATGATGTGCTTTAATACGTATAATATAATCAATGCTGTTCGTCATTTAGTACGACTTGAAATCCTTGAGAATCTGATTCATTCATTCATCTTAAATTACCCGCATTATAATTAGGTCGTTAGTGACAGGCCTTAACGAGCCTCGTTAACCCTTGAATTTGAGCCTCGGAACATTCCAGCCGTCGTGCCAACGACGAAGTTCAGCTCGTGCCTGCCAATTGTTGAGGTCAGGACATTGATGAACGGCTCGGTTTCCGTCACGTCCGGACCAAAATTTGCTTGACCAAAGTCCAATAGATCTCGCTGCGATGAGGGTCTATAAAGTGAGCTAAATGCCAGGCTTGCTTTAGGCTGCATGCTTGACCTCGTCGTCTGATGCATGTCGTCTCTAGGCTTCGATGTCAGGCTTATTACATGCCTTGCAAAACGTGAACATTGTCTTCCTTTTGTCACGGACTTCCTTTGATTATTTGCTTGTTGACCGTTTATTTACTACTAGGTTTCGATGTCAGGCTTATTACGTGGACGTTGTCTTCCGTTTGTCACGGACTTCCTTTGATTATTTGCTTGTTGACCGTTCATTTACTGCCAGATAGTAGCTTGCAATCTACTGCTTCATGTCTGTCATAGTGGACCTCCCAGCTTTTAACTGTCCAATTCCGTCCTTATTCTAAAATCTAAAACTCTTCTATTAGAAAACACCATGAGATTATTTACAAAAATTAGATCAGTACTCACTGCAGTGAGTGACAGAGAGCGCATTTTCTCGTCCGTTCCGTGACGTGAAGTCACGGACGGACGGATATGACGAGCACAATAGCGCCTTTTTTCCAGAAATGAGAAAATGCGCTAAAAACACCGATGCCTTCAAATTCACGACTGGCAAGTTGTAGAATGACTAGCAAGTTGCTCTGAAATTACTTCAAGAATTTTTTTCAGTCATTCGCCACTCAATGGCTGTACTCATCGATACCATTTGCTCTTCCGCCTTCCGAGCCTTTACTTTGAATGTCAGTGAGGTTCTCTGTTCATTTTTGACTGCTTATGAAACTTTGTTCGTTTTTTCCATAACTTTAGTCGGAATTGCTAGTTCTTCGTTATGGACGTTTTTATTCATGAATTTATGAGACACGAATAAAGAGTTGGTGAACAAAACTTTTGACTACAGTTTCTGCTCCAAAGCAACATAAAGTGTGGAAATTCATTTATACATATATTGAGAATTTTACTGGGTTCAATGTAACCTAATTTGAAATAAATATATAGCATTATTCTTCTTCAACATTATGATCTATTCCATCGAATTCGTCAGACCTGATCAATTCTGTAATCGGCAATAACTTTAAAACCTAACCTAACCGAGCGTGGGCGCCGAGTCCCAATATTAACCTGCATCTATTATAGAGAACAGCATCATCACACTCCTCGGTCGTGCAATCGTCGGTCGTGTGCACTGATTGCATCATTTATTATGTGTGTATCACGCACATAAGACGAGCTCTCATTCGAACATTTCATCGCGCTGTCGTCACCACCGCGCTCTAAAATTCATCTTCATTAGAAGACGTTGCCGCTCGACTGGGCCAACGGATTCGCTTTTACGACTCCCGCGTTGACATCTTCTGGACCATTGGACGCGTGCACTGCCACTTCAGGATTTCTTTTTACTTCATGAGATTGCGCAAGAATTACTTCTCTTTCTTCACCCCTTGAGGAAATTTCCCGAAGTTCCTGGATTGTTCGACCATTGCCCGTCGGTAATCCCGCTCATAAATATTTAAGCCTGTTTTTATTTGTGTATCTATATTGTTGTTGTATTTACTGTGTTTATGTTGATGTGCAAATAACATTCTTCTCTAGTCGGCACCTGAAAATATTAAATTGAAGAAATTTCTGGTGTACAGTTCCAAAATTTCAGATAAATTGTCTGAAACCCGCATATATATTACTAATTTTTGCTTTTTTTACACATAATACCCAATGAATTATATGATCATCGATCAGATGAAACAACTTTGATGAATTTCTAAAACGCACTCGAAATCCGTATACCGAACACGGAAACGGATTTATTAGGG